GGCAAACAATGAGACAACCCCAAACAGGAATGGTTTTACAGGTGGAGGCCACTCAAATTCTTTCCCCTACTCATCTCTTTTCTGACTGTTTTTATCACTAGTTTTACGTTTGACTAGGGCCAGTGTCACTACTGGTAGCATGAGGCGATACCTGGACCCTACAGAGGTTTACCGGCAGTCTAACTCCTCCTGGATGGCACATCAATACATGCTATTTCCGGAAGATTTGCTGTGTCCTCCCAGCACTGTCTCAAGAGCATGGAGGAGATTCTAGGTGACAGGCAGTTTCTCTTGTAACAAGGGCCGCAGGAGGTCTTTACCCATCAGCATGACTGGTTTCTGCTCATTTGTGCAAAGATGAACAGGATGAGTACTGCCAGAGCCCTATAAAATTACCTCCAGCTAGCCACTGGTGTGAATGTTTCTGACCAAACAATCAGAAACAGACTTCATGAGGGTGGCCTAAGGGCCTGACCTCTACAGGCTAGACAATGGCACCCTGACTGTATCGGAAGAAATCTTTGGACCCATTGTCAGATCCTAAGCTTGTGCAGTGGGTTCTGGGTTCCTCCTGGTGCACGACAATGCCATGCCTCATGTGGCGAGAGTATGCAGGCAGTTCCTGGAAGATGAAGGAATTGATACCATTGAATGGCCCCCACGCTCGCCTGACCTAAATCCAATAGAACGCCTCTGAGATATCAAGTTTACGGTCCATCCAATGCCGCCAGGTTGCACCTCAGACTGTCCAGGAGCTGGTCCAGTTCTGGGAGGAAATACCCCAGGGACACCATCCAGCAGCCCTGACATTGTCAGGCATGTATACAAGTATCTGGAGCCATACAAACTACTGAGTACCATTTTGAGTTGCTGCAATGAAATTTTCAGCAAAATGGACTAGCCGGCTAGATAATTTTTTTTCACTTTGATTTTCGGGGTGTTTTTTGAATTCAGTCCTCTGTAGGTTGATAATTTCATTTCCATCAAACGATGGGGCATCCTTACATTCCTAACACATTACCCAGTCCATATCATATAGATATCTAGCATGATATTTGTCCCCATTGAGATCTGATGTGTTTTCAAAGTGTTCCTTTAATTTGTACATATGTAAGTATGTAAGGTGACACATAGCATCCCCTGCAATCGCATCTCTTTTCATTATGTTACTAAATGGTTAGCACTTCTGCTTGGCAGTATAGGGTCGTTGGTTCAAATCCCAACCGCGGCACCACTGTCTGGAGTTTGCATGCTCTCCTGTGCCTGCTTGGGTTTCCTCCGGATACTCCAGTTTCCTACCACACTCCAAAGACATGATGGTAGATTAATTGGATCCTGTCTAAATTGGCCCTAGTATGTGTATGTATGCATGCAATTTGGGGACCTTAGATTGTATGCCCCTTGAAGGTTACGAACTGATGTGAATGTACAATATACTGTATATGTAAAACGCTACGTAAATAAGTACTTGAAATTAAAAAAAAATGTATATTATATATATATATATATATATATATATATTCAAATTCAAAAGTTTTGGGTATTAGCAAATATTTAGGCAAATATTAAACATATTATTTGCCAATGTAGAATTTTAAGAGACCTGAGTAAAATCCTGATCCAGTCATTTGTCTCCTCCCCTTATAATTTAGGAGTGGAAATGAGTAAACATGAGTAAAATTTACAGTCGTGCAAAACATGGTCCTGATCCTTTCAAATTTGGTTTGGTTGCAAGTGAAAGAGTAACTCCACTTTTTTGAGAAAAAAAGCAATCCCCACTAGGTGATCTATGTACATTGCAAGGATTTTAACAAACTTTGTTACAGATTTCTACCCTTTGTTGTTCTGCGGAAATAGCTGTTTGTTTGTCTGTGTCCATGTGCAAAGTGAATGAGAATGACTATAATATAACATGGTTCTAATACAGAAAGTGGCAGTGTCTAAATCCCTTAAGACATGACTTTCCTTTGGGAGTATCTCACCTAAAATTACATTTTGTTGCAGAGGATGCCAAAAAATCTGACTTGCATCTTAGTGCAGAATTCTGGGAACATCAGTTAGCCAATCACACAAGCAGCAAATGACATGAATGGAGGGGGGGGGGGGTCTGTGCAGATTGCTATAATGCATTTTACAGAAAATTACAGCATTGAAGGTATAAAAGGAAAAGTAATTTTAGTAACATTCAATTACAATATGACTTGTGTAGCAATTGTATATGCTATACTGTATATGTTTTGTTTTATTTGCCTTTATTTCCCACAAAAGTGGAGTTACCTTTTAAGAGTTTCTTCCAAATATATTTTTGAACCTATGTATGAACAGCAAAACCTGCATACCTAAGCACTAAAGAAGCCCAAGGTAAAAACATTTAGAAGTTTAAAAATGTAAAATGCTAACAGCCCAGATCACTGAAACCTGTCAGTGTACAAGTTTGTTACAGTAAACATATATACAAGGCCTGCAAAACCTAAAGGAGACTGCAACCCTTACCCACTCTAGCCAAACCTAAATAAAAGGTTGTGGCTGGAGTTTAACCTGTAACTAACAATAAACTAATTATTCGGCAACTGCCTCACCACTGTTAGTATCAAATAGATTTCCTTAAACAATTTTTATTGAGGTTATTCAACTCAACCCAGTTTACATCTGCCATGAATCACAAAATCTGTAGTCAAAGACTTAGATGGCATCTGGCATGTCCAGGCTTAATAAAAATTTCAGACAGTGAAATTGTTGTCACTCCTAAGAGTTACAGCACTGTTTTGGCCCTTGAGTCAGAGATTTTCACCTACCATCTGATGCTTCACATAGAGGAAGTCCCCTTTGTCATAAATTTGTCTGCACTTAGCAACACAAACTGATTAAGTTATGCTTCTTTTTGATACTAAGAAGGAGAGGATAATGTAGCTTCAAAGTTATATAAGCGTATGGTATACTGGCAAATTAGAATACACTCCATTGCCAAAAGTATTGGGAACCTTGCCGTTACATGCACATGAACTTTAATGGCATCCCAGTCTTAGTCTGTAGAGTTAAATATTGAGTTAGCCCACCCTTTGGAGCTATAACAGGTTCAACTCTTCTGGGAAGGCTGTCCACAAGGTTTAGGAATGTGTCAATGGGAATGTTTGACCATTTTTCCAGAAGTACTTTTGTGAGGTCAGGCAATGATGTCCCACAAGAAGTCTTGGCTCGCAGTCTCCACACTAATTCATCCCAAAGGTGTTCTTTCAGGTTGAGGTCAGGACTTTTTGCAGGCCAGTCAAGTTCCTCCACCACAAACTTGTTCATCCATGTCTTTATGTACCTTGCTTTGTGTGTAGTCATGTTGGAACAGAAAGGGGCCATCCCCAAACTTGGGTGCATGAAATTGTCCAAAATGTCTTGACATACTGACACCTTAAGAGTTTCCTTCACTGGAAGTAAGGGGCCAAGTCTATCCTCTGAAAAACAATCCCACACCATTATCCCCCCTCCACCAAACTATACACTTGGCACAATGCAGTCAGGAAAGTAACAATCTCCTGGCAACCACCAAAGCCAGGCATGTCCATCAGATTGCCAGACAGGGAAGTGTAAGTCCAGTGGTGGCATGCTTTTACATGGCTGTATCCGACACTTTGCATTGCACTTGGTGATGTAAGGCATGGATGCAGCTGCTCAGCCATGGAAACCCATTCAGTGAAGCTCTCTACGCATTGTTGTTCTGCTAATTTATAGCAGAACAATAAATAGCAAAATAAGTTTGGCCGACTTTAGTTATTGACTCTGCAGACAGTTGCTGACTTCTACGCACTGTGTGCTTCAGCATGGGCTGACCCCGCTCTGTCATTTTTCATGGCCTAGCACTTCGTGGCTGAGTTTCTGTTGTTCCCAGTTACTTCCACTTTGTTATAGCACCCACTAACAGTTGATAGTGGAGTATTTAGTAGCAAGGAAATTTCACAGGTGGACTTATTGCACAGGTGGCAACCTATCACAATACCACGCTTGAATTCACTGAGCTCCTGAGAGCAACCCATTCTTTCACAAATGTTTTTAGAAACAGTCTGTATGCCCAGGTGCTTTATTTTATACACCTGTGGCCATGGAGGTAATTGGAACACTTAAATCCAGTGATTTGGAGGGGTGTCCCAATACTTTAGGCAATATAATGTATTCTTTACATGGAAGTATTTTTAAAGTGTATCTAAGCCCCCTCCTCCCAAAAAAATATATAGTATAGCTTACTAGTCCTTGGGTGTGGTGGCTACATTAGTTTTCCTTTTTCAGACTTTTTTCCTTTATTTTAATACCAGTAACATACTTTTAGAACAAAAGAAAAAGGATAGGACTACAGAAATTACCTCCTCTTCTCCATAACTTAAATGGTATGGTTGCTGTAGTCATCAGAGATACCTTGCACCTTGTAACTGATAAAATGCAGCACAGGCAGTGGACAAAGGATGTTATAAGCTATAAAGGTTTCTGATAAGATCAAAAATTATTTTTAAAAAACACTTTTAACAGTATGTCCAGCAGACCAAAAGGGATTCATAAAACAAAATTCATTGTTAGGGTTCACACGCTGTTTAATGAGATCCTTCATTTTCAACTGAGTCTGTATTGATGTTGATAACCCTGGCCAGAGGATCTCTCCAGCTTAGGCAGTAGGGGTTATGCTGTGGTGTGAAGGAGGGAGTAACAGTATCAAACCTGTGTAAGTAGTGACCCCATATGACACGAAGCTTACACTGGTTTAGGACTGCAAAGTGCTGGGGGAGAACAGGTAAGGTGAATGTAAGCACTTTGCACAAAATGGGTAACGTCACATAGTCTCTTTAATTTTACTGTTACAAAATATGTCTAATAAACTGTTTTTATACACTGTATTACATTGATACTAACTTTGCAATCCTTTAGAAAGCCATTTTATTGAATTAATATAAGTACTAAATATATTGATGCCATTTGTGTTTGATGCACCTAGGTCCTGACATTTTCTCTTTAATTCCTAGGATAAAGAAGTTAACTTGGAGCAAGTTCACCGAAGAATGAACAGCTTAATTGATGAAGATATGGCTCATAAACAAATATCCACTGCATCTATTGAAATATCAGCACTGGAAATCGGTATGCCATCTAGTCAAACCCTTGAGCCAGTTCGGGAATATCAGAATACTCAACTTTCAGTCACCACCTTTTTACCCGAACAGTCGAGTCATGGTGGTGGTAGAACACTTACTTCTATTTCAAGCAGTAACTTACCCTTACCTCTTAGCAGCTCAGCAACCATGCCCTCTATACAATGTAAACACAGATCGCCAAATGGAGGACTGTTTCGTCAGAGTCCCGTGAAAACGCCCATGCCAATATCATTCCAGTCCATGCCAGGGGGACCAATTCCAGAAGCCATTGAGCCTTCTCATGGAACATCTATATAGTTATAAAAAAAGGAAGAAAAAACCTGCAAAGCTTTTTAATACAACTAAAAAAAAACAGAAAAAAACAAAAACTCTTACATTTTTCTTGTACATATCTGTAAATAACAAAAGAATGAAGTGGGGTAAAAGTGTATTTTGAATATTCCCATTTTTTGAAGTCAGTAAAACAAACAAAAAAAATGTATGAATGGCTTTGTAAATTTTGTTCTATATGAAATAAAACAGCAACTTACTTGTGACCCTTCTCAAGTGCCAAAGAAGACCTGTGACTGGGACAGAAGGCCATTAGCCTTTCGACGTGTTTCATTTTCAGTTGGGTTCATTTAATGCCTCGACTATCACACAATTACAAACAATGCTCTAGTCACTGCATTTCATTTTAATAGGCCGAAAAACAATTTAGAGACCAGCATTAGTATAAACGATAGTTGTGTGCTAAAATAAAATGGAAAGAGTCAGTTAAATTACAACTGAAATGTTTCCTTCTAACACGAAGTATCTGGGATTGAATCTCCACAAAATTTCTAGGTTAAAGCACTGGTTTATTAAATTGTATTTTATGTGTACCGTGCTGTGTGGCCTTTTGATTTAACCTTTACAATTGGCAGGATCTATGATATCTTTGGTGGGAAATGGAGAGGTTAGAGGTGGAAAGAAAAATCTGTTGAGCGAAACCTGTAATCATCTTTTTTTGTAGCGCGTACAATGAAATGTTGGTTGGCACTGATGATTTATAAATGAGAAAGTTAGTTGATGGAACACACAGTTTGCACTTGTGTCCTGAGTTCTCAAGTACACTTCTTGCCACTAAGCAAAACATAACTTCCTGTTCATACACAGAACTTTCGAAATAGCACATTTATAAAATGTACATTCTTTTTTTTCGTAATTTCAGCTCTTAAAAGATTTCAGACGTTCTCTGTATTAAACAATTTAACTGATAAAAAAAGACATACTTCAAGGGAATGTTTTGGGGTAGGTTAATGAGCTTTTTTAGACCTTTACATTGTCAGAGTTGTATATATTTACAAATGACAGTTGAAGACTGACTTTGACTTTATTAATCCAGTGTAAAAAAAAAAAGTGATGCACACCAACCAATCTTTTTTTTTTTTTTCTTTTTTTTAGCCTGACTACATGAAGACTAGCCATACACAGCCTTATATTCATAGCAGTCTTGTGACCATTTGAACTATTGTGCATGATGGCTGGGCAGTGTGTGACCTAACTCTTCATTGATAATGAGCAATTGACTGTAGTAAGCATTTTATATTGTTCACAAAGGTTTTACAATATGTTGAAAAACCTCTGTAAGGGATCAATATTCATTGTATTCTCTATAGAAAACAATCATTTTTCCACCTACACTCCAAATCGTGTCAGGGAGCCAGCAGGTGGCACATTATCTTGGGTAAAGTAATCATTGCACATCTACCTATCTATGGGCAACCTTGGCTGCTAAAAGCTGTTTCAGTCTGGTTGCTGTAACAGGGGTGAATTTTTGATAAGGCACAGTAGGCTTGTTCCTACAGGTAGCAAAGAAAAAAAATGTCTTGTATAGTCATTGGCTACATATATTTTCCATCATTGGCAGTGAATATCTCATAAATCTCATAAAGAGTTTATTTTTACTATGTCGCTATTCTTAGCCAGGTTTGGACAAGTCTAAAAGAGGCGATCCTAGCAGAAAGATGTTGCTCTTAACTGTAATGACCTACATGCCCCAATGAATGGAAATCCAACCCTGTTTGTTTCATTATAGGGATAAATAACTGATGAATTATAAACTTCATTTGGAGACTAAAACCTTAGAAGGATATGTACATGTCAACAAATAACCAGTCAACACGTGATCAGCATTATGGATAGACATTTAATATATTTAAGGTTATTGTTATTATGAATTAGAAAAGTTCAACATAGAGGCCTATTTATTATATTTTACCAAGATTCACACAACTTTCACCCAGAAGTCACACATTTTTCCAACAGAATTCAGTAAGAAAAATGTGTGAATGTTGGATGAAAACTGTGAATTATGTAGAAAAATATTTATGAATAGACTTTTAGCCATAATTTACAAATGCAAATAAAACAATTGGAGATAGTTCTCTTTATATCACTCATCTCTTACAATAAGCCATGAGAGCTAAAAATTGGTTCTCATCCCTAACATTGTTGCAATCCTAGCTGAAGCCTTACCCATGTCTAAAGATGCTCTCGCAAATTACAATGCGTTTGTACATCTCTGTTATGTTTATTATCAACAACTATGTAGTGTGAATGGGTCCTTTCTTCGAGATGAATGTAATGAATTGTTCAGGTTGGCCCTCACTCTCCATAGTTCTTGATAAATACTTATACTTTATAGGAGATTGCATAGTGATATTGTAATGTGACCAATTTCAAATGAAATATTATTCACCATGGTGTGTAATAAGCACCGAAAGAAGTAGGTGAGTAAAGGAAATCAGGTGCACAAGTGACTATTACGGGATTTCCACACTGAAAATACTTACATCTTTAAGGATGTATGTGAATATGTATATATATATTAGAGATATTTCTGTATAATGTATTTATTCATTCCTGGTTTTTTTTTTCTTATTTTCTTTTTCTGAAAAAGAGTGTTTACTATATTACACTAATAGTTTTTTTTCCTTTGGCTTTTTAACAGCCAAATTATGTAAATGTCATATTTCAGAAAAATTGCTTGTAAATCTTTGTTTCCAGGGAATACTCATATATTCTTATCTGCTTCTAGACATTCATGTTACAGTGTATAATTTTCGAGTTACTTTCATATAAAGAGAAGCATACGACTAAATGTGAATGTAAAAGAATGTGTCAGGATAAAAATATATGGCTGCCGTTGCTTACTTGTTACCCAGGGATGTTATTCTCATCCTTCATTTTTCAGTGCATATGTTTGGGCATAATATTAACCCCACTGTCTACTAAAAAACAAAACAAAACAAACAAAAAATATATATACACACACTCTCCAGCCAATTTGTTAGGTACACATTGCTAGTACCAGGTTGAACCTCCTTTTGCCTTCAGAACTGCCTTCATTCTTTGTGGCATAGATTCAACAAGGTATTGGAAACATTCCTCAGAGATTTTGGTCCATATTGACATGATAGCATCTTGCAGTTGCTGCAGATTTTCTGGCTGCACATCCATGATGCGTATCTCCCATTCCACCACATCCCAAAGGTGCTCTATTAGATTGAAATCTGTTGGCTGTGGAGGCCATTGGAGTACAGTAAACTCATTGTAATGTTCAAAAAACCAGTTTGAGATGATTTGAGCTTTGTGACATGGTGCATTATCCTGCTGGAAGAAGCCATCAGAAAATGGGAAAGCTGTAATCATAAAGGGATGGACATGGTCAGCAGCAATATTCAGGTAGGCCATGGCATTTAAACAATGCTCAGTTGGCATTAAGGAACCCAAAGTCTGCCAAGAAAATATCCCCCCCCTCACATCATTACACCAGCAGCCTGAACCGCTGATACAAGGTAGGATGGATCCATGCTTTTATGTTATTTACACCAAATATTGATCCTACCATCTGAATGTCGCCACTGAGATCGAGACTCATCAGACATGGTAACATTTTTCCAATCTTCTAATGTCCAATCTTGGTGAGCCTGTGTGGATTGTAGCCTCCCTTTCCTGTTCTTAGTTGACAGAAGTGGCACCTGATGTGGTCTTCTGCTGCTGTAGTCCATCTTATTCAAGGTTTGATGTGTTGTGCATTCAGAGATGGTATTCTGCATACCTTGGTTGTAACAAGTGGTTATTTGAGTTACTGTTGCCTTTCTATCATTTTGAACCAGTCTGCCCATTCTCCTCTGACCTCTGATATCAACAAGGCATTTTCTTCCACACAACTGCTACTCACTGGATATTTTCTCTTTTTCAGACCATTCTTTGTAAACCATAGAATTGGTTGTGCATGAAAATCCCAGTAGGTCAGCAGTTTTTGAAATACTCAGACCAGCCCATCTGGCACCAACAACCATACTACATTCAAGTCACATAAATCCCTTATCTTCCCCATTCTGATGCTCAGTTTGAACTTCTGCAAGTCATCTTCACCATGTCTAAATGCACTGAGTACTGCCATCTGATTGGCTGATTAGAAATTTGTATTACCAAGCAATTGAACAGGTGTACCTATTAAAGAGGCCCGTGAGTGTATATCATTCATAAAGTATTCAAATCCCCTTAATTTTTTTCAGTTTTGTTATGTTTCGGATTGATACTATAATCGTTTAAATTCATTTTTTTTCTCATTAATCTACTTTCACTACTCCATATAATAACAAAGTGAAAACAGAATTTTAGAAATGTCTGTGAATTTATTAAAAAGGAAAAACTGAAATATCATATGTACTTAAAGTGGTAGTAAACTAATTTTTTAAATTTTACCTATAGGTAAGCTTATAATAAATCTTACCTGTAGGTAAAACGAATATCTCCTAAATGTGCACATCTTAGGAGATATTCTCTCTTTCCTAAAGCCGGCGCTTGCACTCTGAAGAAATGGCATACCTGTGCCGTTCCTTCAGAGCTGTGTGCAGTGGCCTGGGACTCCCATGTGCA